GCACCGCAAGAGAGTGACACTTGTAATCTTGAGACGCGCCTAGGGAAAGACGGTCAAGAAGGGATTAGCAAGTGCGCGAAAGTCGGTCAAATCGTAATCCGCCTCGGAGTTAAAGCCTTACCTTATTTAGTGCCGAAATCCAAGCGATCGGATTATCGTCACGCGAAGAGTGCGCCGTTTTAGCGACAGGCTCGCCGATGACGACAACAACATATACTGTATATAATTTAAATCCAGATATATAACTAAATTTTTAAAGAGTTATTATTTTTTTTGATATTTTAAATAAAACTTTTATCACAAAATTTATTTAAACAGTAAAAAAATAAATTGAATTTATAAATCTAAATTAATTAAGATTTCATATAAAAATATTATTGGGTTATAATATTTTATAAATAAATTAATAATATATTGATATAATAAAATTTTGTATTTGAAATTAGAATATTAAATATATTATTTAAATTTTTGATAATTAAATAATATAATTTTTTAATATCAAAATTATTAAAAAACATATGCCAAAGAAATTTTTGTTTCTTTGAGACAAATGAGTCTTATTTAATGAAGAATTACCTATATCCGTACTTTTGTTGTGCTAGATCAATCATATCCCAATAGTACACATCTAGGATTTGTTGTGAAAAACAATAGTTTGAAGATGGGCTCTGCTAACATTCCATTTGAGCCTAATGCTACGTCTATTTATAAATGGTATTCTAAATCGTCGACTAGCTGTTGAACTTTAGAATGCCATAGGTTAGATGTTGGAATTGCGAATGGTGTTAACGGCGAAGTTGCATAGGTGAGAGCGGGTTTATATAGCTGAGATGCATTCTGGGATAAAGTGATCACGTAAGTTAGCTGTTCCGCGGGCGTAGGATGTAATTACTGAAGTGAAGGAAAATCACGTTTGTTGACGTTTGTATGAGTATCTGAATGTAAAAAATTGGATACTTTTTTTATTTATAGCTGGATGGACGATGAAGATGGTGTTCTTAACATGTTCATACAATCTACGACACCAACAAAATTGCTTTTCTTTGCAAAATTTTCGGATTCTTCAATGCATTTCTGTATGTACATTTTACCTTGAAAAGGAAATTAAGGATTGCATATATCCATCAAATGTATAGTAGCTGCTTGCGAAAGGTAATACAAGACGGTATTATATGCAAAAAGAATCTCACGATCTATTTTTATGCAACTTGAAAGCTTAGTAATGCTAATAGCTAGCTGCCTTTCTGCATAAGTCAAGAGAATCTGTATCCGGGTGTTAATTGGAATCTATGTAAAGTCTGTGAAGAGATATAACTACCGCGTAATAAATTTGATTTATATAAGCAGCATAAAATTGGGTAGAGGGACATGGATCACCAACGGCAAGAGGATTGTACAGTACTGTAAATGTGGAGATAAGGCCAATGACCAAGCGCGCAATGCAGCCTCAATAGATGACAGAATGTTACAAAGTGATCCCAGATGTAAAAAGTAGGGCTTTGCCGTAAAATGTTTCCATAAACTTTCACTAACTTCGAATAATGCATATAGTTGATAACTTCTTGTGGGTTTTCATCATCTTTGATTGGGTATCGATATGATATCTTGTAGTCGTAGACAGGTAGGGGTTTCTTAATATTCAGGTGTCAGGGATTGTAGGAGTGTGATTGGGTGAAGAGAAACATACTCGAAGGAGGCCCAGATGAAGGTTTCATCATTCATGACGTTCCTCACTCTCATTGCCTTTTTTAATTCGCTAATATTCCATTTTCAACAGTCACAATTTAATACCACAGACATTCTGACTCTATTCCAATAAGTGACAAGAATCTGCATTCTTTTTTGTGTAAAGATAGTATTAGCAATATTAGTTGAATTCGTCTTGGAAAACATATGAACTTACCAATTTAACACAAAATTGGGTCAATAAAATAAAGGCCTGAATCAAATCTTAAACAACTTAATGTTACATTCCTTAATTTCGAATCCACAAATTATTAGATTTTTTTCTTATCAACCTGCACACTCGAAAGTCGTGCTCTGTCCATGCAATCATCAATTAAACCAAAATTACGTGACTATATAGCATTTAATACAAATATAAAAAAGGCATAATTAATGGACAATGATATCACATATACTAATTGCGCGATTAAAAAATATATAACCAGCCGAATCTGGTTCATTCTCTGACCTAAGCACCCGCTTATAATAGTATATAGGCAAGCCATAGCCATCAGCACAACAAAAGAAAAGACGATGTTTTTTTTTGTCTTTAAGTTGTTTAATAAATGCGGGCATGTGTATTAATGGAGCCCTTGATACAAAGCCAAAGGTGCAATATTTCTTTACTAAGTGATCGACTAAATCCTCATCAGGAAATTCCGTGGGGTTTTTATATACTTCTGGAAACGACGGTTCCAAAGTCAGAAACTCTATTGGATCCACACTTTCAGTGTACAGTATCGGCGGAGGCAGCATTTTTATCCACATCATAATTGATGGTAAAATATCTACTATTGTTTTTTAATTTCAACATGTCATGTCCATTGATTCGGACAGGGCGTTAACATACTGTATTTTTTTAGACATATTCACCGGCTCGTAAAGCCCCATCTCAGGTCCACCAATCATTTAAGGATTTATTATTGTGACTTTTTTAGATTGTGGAGTATCAAAAAGCTTTTTTAAATTTATTATTCTTTTTCATAACTGGATAATAACCAGATTTATTACAATTTACTACGTTATAATAAAATATAAATCCGATTTAAATAAAAAAATCCGAATTTTTCAAAAAAGAATAAGTTATCCTTTTAATATCTGGATTTTATAAATAACATCCAAGCCCTAGTACTGTATGGGGGACTTAATTGATGTGTGCACATCTAAGAAAAAATTTACCCGTGATGAGATGTATGGAGTACAGTAGTAATCCGAGCATCGTTGCATGTGTTCAAACTACTTCAAGATCATGGCTACTTAAAATGGAAGATTGTGATAATGACCTTTTTTCGATATGGCAACAATGCTAGGTCCTGAAAGTCGTAGAATTAGAATAATAAAATATAGAGGGTAATCAATTGATTTAAAATTAATGATAAAACACATCGATTTCCTGTCATATTCGTCCACCACCCTCTTACCGAATATTATGTCTAAGTGTGACATCAATGTTATAGTCAATCGTATAAACTATACAAAATTTGAGTACGATTTAGCTACGAAGTGACCGCCTCTGGTAATGTCATGATTCTATTATTTATATTAAAGTAAATAGACGTTGTTATCAAGGTAAATCTATGTGAGTCTTTCCAAAATTTTGCTAAGTACAATATATAATCAACGTCATCCAGAGATAAATTTAAAATCTTTGTTGCATTAAAAGCTTTAACCCGATCTATTATTTCCTTCTCATCAATACTATTAAAAAGTCTAAAATATTTTTAGCTCTTTTTCAGAGATTGGTTTCAGTAAGTTTATCTTGCGTAGAAATCTGTTTCCTAATTCTTATTGTTAATTAGAGAATTAGATACACATGTATCTTCATTATATGTTTTCTATAATTATTGGTGCGATTGGTGCGCGATATATGCAAACTCTTATTATTTTTTAATCCCATGGTCTTTGCAATCTAAATTTAAAAAATAAATATAAAGATAAATAATAATATCATACTGGAAAGTTTGGTTACCTGTAGCAACTAGTTTCTAATAAAAAAACATAATGTTTAGACTAAATCCCTGTAAAAGAAAAGGTTATATATGAATGGGTAGCTCCTAAAGAGAATGATGAACATACGGTATTCCTAAATCCCGGTCGTAATGGATCTAGAAAAATCATGCATAAAACATTAAATAAAAATGTTATTTAGATTGGGATCCTATTAGTCTTGTTAATAATACACTTAAAATCGCATTTCAGAATGCCGTAGTGGCTGGTGCTGGATTTATTGAAAAGATTACATTAAACCCTATCCCAATGAAGAGTTATGAAAATTCAGAATTTCATCTCTCAGTTATGATATAATCACCCAAGGTTATGTAGTTGTATCAATTTGACTGTTTTTCTTACACGTGACAATGATTCATACGGCATGATTACATCATACCATGTCGGATTCAGATTATGCGAATAGTTTTAATAGTTTCTCTTAAAAATGTCTCGTGCACGTACTTCAGACGCACGAGTTTTTACATAATTATCCAAAATTATCAAAAAAAAAGTCGTTAGCAGAAGCAGGCGTGCGTATGTATGATGGTATTACTTTATCATTTAGATACCAACTAACGTAGACTTTGTATGGAATGTAGCTTTCCTTTGCAAATTGGCTCGAAAATAACGATCAAAGATTATAACATTTTGCTTAACAACTACGGGTCATCTGGATACAAATTCTGGTTCCAGTTAAACAATGACAATCAAACTGGTAACGTATATATAATTGATGTGACCTCACCCGAACATGAGGGTGTTGTTACCCGGCTTCAAGATTATTTTAAGGTTCCCAACGGTGGAGTTGCAGACGATTCTCCCATAGTAGTTTTTGGACAACCTCGTAAGAGAATCTATTCTAATTTTCTTCTTGCTATTGAATTTCCATTCTTATAATCTTTCATATAGTACGCTATAAGCCTAGTGGAAGTGGAGTTTAAATATCTCCTGATGTTGTTGTGTACCCAAATTAAGCAATTGTTCAAAGACCTTCTGTTATGCCTCGTCCTCCCAGTGATATACAGTAGATGTACTGTATGTTAAGTTTGATATGCATTATTGCATTCGTTTATATGTGATCTTCATTAATATGGTTTATATAGGGAAATCCGCATGCACGGATAATATGTGAGGTAGCTGTGGGCCAAAGTGTTGGTCGTTTGGGACAAAAGTGCTCGACTTGAATGCAAAAACAATACGTTCGTGCTGTCATCAGTATCAAGATTTTAGAACCAAGAGGAGGCATTCGAGCACCTGGAACTGGATATTTCTATAGAACAATGATGGTGTGTCTTACTTCCTATTAATACCAAGATAAATTTTGCATATTTTCATATTTAATTAGTCTATTTTTTAAATATTAGGCGAAAATTTACCGTCAAGGAATGGCCATACAACGGTGGGATTTTGGGAATGTCAAAAAATATTCAAGAGATCCTGTCAATGATCCTGCTGGTTGCAATGCGCCAAACTTGCCAGCTTTTCAGATTACAATTCCTATAAGTCAAGTATTTTGGGACCTACCATTTCCTATTCCACCTGCATATGTTCCAATAATATTGACAAATATAAATGGTAACAATTTTATTATTGACTTGTACCGAATCCAGCGAATCGCTTTAGATACTAAGATGGAATAGGTTAAACAACTGTATTTTTTTAAGACTTCTTATTGCTTAAATAAGATTGGTTCCTTTTTATTTTTCAAATATAATATTAAAAATTTTTTTTGTGCTTTATAATAATATTATTAATCATATATAATTGATTATTTTGGTAAAAAGTTACTTGATTGTTTTATTAATGTAATAATAGTATCAGAAATAAACACAGATCGAAAAAAAATCCAAAAATCCACAACTTTTCATATATGGTATATTCTTTATGAAGTTCTTTTTTTCCGGAATTTCAGAAATTTGAGTGGTATCGGAAGATAATTCATGATAAGCCTTTTTAATACGCCAAATAAAAATGTCTCTTATCTCACAAAAATTAATTATTGGAAGAAAAGACCATTTAGGTCTGATTGCTATATAAAATACAAAATACATGTGAAGCAGGATAACTATCTATCTGCTTTTTTGGAATTTTTTTTTCGTGTGTAACGCCTCTTGCTTTTGGGTTCATCACATACAGTTACTCTATCCTTCAATAACCCTACGACTATACTGATTACCTGTTTTATATCTTCCTTAGATTTTCCTGATTATCTTTAAGCGTCCTTTAGTACGATTTATTTGATATTCATTATTACTTGTACAAAAAATTCATTCGGAAGTGAACATAATCCACGCCTAATAATCAACATGAAAAAACCTGTCATGTATCAGCATACAATAGACACAATTCCATATACTGTGGTTCTAATTCTGCCTATAGTTCGCGATATCCTTTCTGATCATGATTGTGATTCCTACACCTTTGTCATTGTTGCTTCATATTGTATAGTATCCTGTCATCTTCCACCATTTGGTGTCATTTGTAGTTATTTATGTTTCTGTCATCACTGCTATATCGATTTTCTCTTTCATAAAATACTTTTTCCATATCCCTTTTTGGTTTGATCGTTGAACTCTTTGACATTGTATATTGCAATCTTTCATGTTTTCAATCTCTGTTCTGGTTTTGGTTTGTTATGGTTTAAAATTATTTCCACTTGGTTCTTGTTGACAGTGAGTGCTGCTTTTAATTGTATAATTTTATTGTTTCACTAATTATTGTGGGTAATATGTGGATTGAGATTCTGTGGTAATTATGGATAGCTTGGTATGTTTATATGTTAAGTAGATATGTGTTCACCATCTATATTATTGTTTGTGTTTGTGTCTTTCTCAGAATAATTATTAATTGAGCTATAAAGTATTGAAAGATTGTTGATAATGCTTTCTTCATCTTTTGTTGTATTTTGATTGTTTCCTATAATATTATTATTTGATAGAAGATTTTTTGTTTCTAGAGATAAGTGCATGGATTATATCGAATAGATTGTTTATTGTTTGACTGATACTATTGATGATTTTATGGATCTGCCTTTGGTGAATTTGTAAATCTGTAATATTTTGTGATATATGTGTAGTATTTCCAGCTGTGGAAGTTTGGCTTGTTTGTTTTGGAAGCTGCTTTTACTTATATGTCTTCTGCTTTTATTGCTCTGGTATTATTTTTTTCATAATATTTCAGATTTGTGATGCTCTTGTTAATTTTTATCATCTATTGTTTAATTATATATATATCTTGTGCATTTGTTATAGGAGTTTGAGTATTTTTTACAAACTTGTGTTTTAATTGTATCATTTGTATCCTTTCTATAATTGGATTGTTATCTTGTAGCAGCTGCATATGAGCCAGGCCTATTTTGTTTGGTGTTGGGTTTGTTAAGTTTAAAGGTTTTTCAAATGTTTGTTGTTTTAGCTAGTTTAAATTTTTAATAAAGTCTTTTAAATATAGCCCTTGTTCTTGATTATAAGTTTTCTATTGTGCTTGTTTGTTGTTGATTGGGCATTGCACTGTCAAGTGTTTATGTGAATTATAGATAAGACAGGTTTTGTTTTCAATCTGTACCCATATGACTATTGTTTTATCAAGAATAAATCTTGTTTTATAGCTGCTTGAGATCTTGTTCTGTCTTAAATTATAAGATTGGAATATTTCTTCTTTTGTATGCTTCTGTTTTTGCAATATAGCATGTTTTAGTTTTCATATGTAAACAAATATGTTTTAAATCAAATGCCATTATATTAAAAAGCAAGTTTAACAATTTTGTTTTAATTATTTTTCTTGCCTTTATTTTATCTAGTTTCTACTTTATATCAAATACTTTGATTATGTTTTTCTTGAGTAACATGTTTTATATATTTGTTACTTTTGTTTTGCTATCTTGATTTTAATAAGTAATTATTACTAATTGTTATATTTGTTATTTATTTATACTAATATCATGAATTTATTATATTTATAAAGGCTTGTTTAATTTTGATGAGTTTGTATCAAGTGGAATATCCTTTACTCTAATATTGTTTTCTTTATTTGAGTGAATATCTGTAAATAATATTTGTTACATATGTTTGTATTTCAAATTAGGCAATTTAATTTTATATGCTTATTTATCAACTTGCTAATTCAAAAATATTATAATAATTTATTTTTTATTTTTATTTCCTTGCTATAAATATCCTAGAAATCATCTGGATTATCAAGCTTTAGTAATAAACCAAATTTTCTGCTAAGTAATATATTTTGACACTGTTGGGCTAAAAAATTATAAGTTATTTACTTCATAAGTTCAAAGTTAAAGTTACCAAAGATAAGTTAAGGTATGTAAGACTAATTTAACTAAGGAACTCTCTTATTAATAAGATTTTTTTATTCCCAATACTAGTTCTTTTTTTGATAATCCTAGGCTATATCCTATTATAATAGTAATTATTCTTTCCTAAACAGTGTATACTTGAAAAGATAAGTTATTAATTAAATATTTCTTTTATTATTATTATTTGCATTATCTTGGACCTGTGGATCTGTAGTGTAGTGGTTAACACTCCACAGGTCAAATCACAAGATACAAGTTCAAACCCATGTGAAGGCAGTTGAATAGAATTAATATGGTATCTGGCGCTATAACTTGTTAAGCGCTGTTTCTCATAAGAAGCCGTTTCATATGCTGATCCAGCAGGCATTGAGATTGTGATTTCCAGAAAAGGGTGTCATAGCATAACAATTGTTCAGTTGATGTTATGATAATCATCGTCAAGTTTGGTGCATCTCCAGTTCCACAACAAGATCGCTTCCCATTCCCTATAGTTCACGAGACTATAAAAGAAATTATGAAGGGCCACAAACTGGAAACTTTCAGCAAGACTTTCAGCACAACCCTCCTGCAGCACAAGTGACGACTCGCCAGCAATACCCACCATTCTTACCTATAGTGAAGATACTTAGTTGGTAATGATTACCAGAATAGAAGACCCCCTTTAAGACTTAGCCTGGCTTTGGAGGATTTGCACCCTCTTAAATAAGCAGCCTACGCTTAAAGCCTGGCATTATCTACAAAGGATTGGATTGTCAACCTATGATAGGTTTAAAGGTATTGAAACAAACTCTAGCCATAGGGTCTCATCCGTTTTCCAAATAGGAATCTCCTTGCATCAATCGCTGAGATTGTTGATCCAAAGGAAGAGAACCAGGAAATTGAGACACAGTACTCTGATGGTTAATCCAGTTGGTGTTAAAAGAATCTTAAATAGAAGATTTGCAGACTTGAGACTGGCAGATGTAGAAAATCGGCGCGCTTAAATAGTTCTTATAGGTAGGCTATATCCGAATAGTATACTTGTGAGTGAATTCTAATTGTAATAATTATGTGTAAATAGAAATATACAATGTATGTCATTTATTACAAATTAATAAAAATTGAGTAAAGTCTACTCGCATTAAAAAAAAAAAAAAAAAAAATTGCATTATCTTTATTTTTTATCCTATTTTATTTTATTGTTTACTTTTTTAAAATGGTACTACTATTTATATCAACAATACAAAAAGAAAACAATTAAGAAAAAATAGATTATTAGTATTAAAATAGACTATCAAGTAAGTTATCTAAGTCTCTATAACTACATTTTCTATACTAATTGTTATTGATATTTCATATTTTCAGGGTATACAATGTGATAATCACAGTACACAATTACATCACATGACCTTTATCAAGCTAATAGCATATTTACTATCTTAATTTCAATTTTAAATCCTTGACTGCTGTATTTTTTATCCTATAAAAGAGTGATTTCAGTTTAAGGTTTAAGGTTCTGTTGTTTTCTTTCTATTTGTTTTTGTTCAAATTTTATTCTTCTTTAAAAATATTTCTAATATATAATGTTTTTATCTCTATATTACTATTATTAATATGTGCTAGTATTTTGATTAGTATTGTATTAATCTAATGCTTTTCTTTTGGATTGGTTTTGCTATTGTTTTATTTTTAAGAGTTTCTGTTAACCTTGTTAATTATTTTGTTATTGCTTCTTTTATAATTTAACTTTATAATGCCATAAAAAATTTTCAGATAAAAGTGTTTTCTTGTGTTACTAGTATTTGTTTCTGTTTTTTTTTGTCCATTATTGCTATATTATTTGGGGTTTTTTATTCATTGTTTGCTAGTTTCTTAAATAATCTTTAACTTGAATAAAAGTTGTTTCTGAATTTTTTGATATTTCAGCTTTTGGATATTTTTGTTATATTATAGATTAATCTAATATAAATTTTGAAGATAAAGTTAATGTTAATAATAATAAAAGTTCTATTTAAATATAATTGTCTACAAGTATGTTTTTGAGTTCAAAAAATTATAGAGAAAAAATTTGATAAGAATTTATGAATTTCTGACAACTGGATTTAAATTGATATACTTTGATAATATTAGGATAGACATTAATTTTTTTTTGATAAAAAAGTTGAACTCTACTTTATTATTTATTTACCTTTATTAAAAGTAAAGATTAGTCTGTTGTAATTTATTTGTTTATGTTTTTAAATTATTATTAAATCAGTATTTAATATGAAAAAATGTGATTCATTTTTTAAAACAAGAAAAAGATTTTTGAAAAGAAAAATTTTGTTGTTAAGAAAAAAATATTGAAATCAA